TAATAACATATTTATTTAATCATTTAAAATGGATATAATAACAGATTTATTTAATCATTAATTTATATAATAACATATTTATTTAATCAGTTAAAATTTATATATAACATATTTTTAATCATTAAAATTATATAATAACATATTTATTTAATCATTTAAAATTTATATAATAACATATTTATTTAATCATTTAAATTTATATAATAACATATTTATTTAATCATTTAAATTTATATAATAACATATTTATTTAATCATTTAAAATTTAGATAATAACAGATTTATTTAATCATTAAAATTTATATAATACATATTATTTAATCATTTAAAATTATATAATAACATATTATTTAATCATTTAAAATTATATAATAACATATTTATTTAATCATTTAAAATTTATATAATAACATATTTATTTAATCATTTAAAATTTATATAATAACATATTTATTTAATCATTTAAAATTTTATATAATAACATATTTAATTTAATCGATTTAAAATTATATAATAACATATTTATTTAATCATTTAAAATTTATATAATAACATATTTATTTAATCATTTAAAATTTATATAATAACATATTTATTTAATCATTTAAAATTTATATAATAACATATTTATTTAATCATTTAAAATTTATATAATAACATATTTATTTAATCATTTAAAATTTATATAATAACATATTTATTTAATCATTTAAAATTTATATAATAACATATTTATTTAATCATTTAAAATTTATATAATAACATATTTATTTAATCATTTAAATTTATATAATAACATATTTATTTAATCATTTAAATTTATATAATAACATATTTATTTAATCATTTAAAATTTATATAATAACATATTTATTTAATCATTTAAAATTTATATAATAACATATTTATTTAATCATTTAAAATTTATATAATAACATATTTATTTAATCATTTAAATTTATATAATAACATATTTATTTAATCATTTAAAATTTATATAATAACATATTTATTTAATCATTTAAAATTTATATAATAACATATTTATTTAATCATTTAAAATTTATATAATAACATATTTATTTAATCATTTAAAATTTATATAATAACATATTTATTTAATCATTTAAAATTTATATAATAACATATTTATTTAATCATTTAAAATTTATATAATAACATATTTATTTAATCATTTTAAATTTATATAATAACATATTTATTTAATCATTTAAAATTTATATAATAACATATTTATTTAATCATTTAAAATTTATATAATAACATATTTATTTAATCATTTAAAATTTATATAATAACATATTTATTTAATCATTTAAAATTTATATAATAACATATTTATTTAATCATTTAAATTTATATAATAACATATTTATTTAATCATTTAAAATTTATATAATAACATATTTATTTAATCATTTAAAATTTATATAATAACATATTTATTTAATCATTTAAAATTTATATAATAACATATTTATTTAATCATTTAAAATTTATATAATAACATATTTATTTAATCATTTAAAATTTATATAATAACATATTTATTTAATCATTTAAAATTTATATAATAACATATTTATTTAATCATTTAAAATTGATATAAGAACATATTTATTTAATCATTTAAAATTTATATGGAATTAACATATTTATTTAATCATTTAAAAATTTATATAATAACATATTTATTTAATCATTTAAAATTTATATAATAACATATTTATTTAATCATTTAAATTTATATAATAACTATATTATTTAATCATTTAAAATTTATATAATAACCAGATTTATTTAATCATTTAAAAATTTATATAATAACATATTTATTTAATCATTTAAAATTGATATAATAACATATTTTTGTAATCATTTAAATTTATATAATAACATATTTATTTAATCATTTAAAAGTTATATAATAACATATTTATTTAATCATTTAAAATTTATATAATAACATATTTATTTATCATTTAAATTATATAATAACATATTTATTTAATTCATTAAAATTTATATAATAACATATTGATTTAATCATTTAAAATTTATATAATAACATATTTATTTAATCATTTAAAATTTATATAATAACATATTTATTTAATCATTTAAAATTTATATAATAACATATTTATTTAATCATTTAAAATTTATATAATAACATATTTATTTAATCATTTAAAATTTATATAATAACATATTTATTTAATCATTTTAAATTTATATAATAACATATTTATTTAATCATTTAAAATTTATATAATAACATATTTATTTAATCATTTAAAATTTATATAATAACATATTTATTTAATCATTTAAAATTTATATAATAACATATTTATTTAATCATTTAAAATTTATATAATAACATATTTATTTAATCATTTAAAATTTATAATAACATATTTATTTAATCATTTAAAATTTATATAATAACATATTTATTTAATCATTTAAAATTTATATAATAACATATTTATTTAATCATTTAAAATTTATATAATAACATATTTATTTAATCATTTAAAATTTATATAATAACATATTTATTTAATCATTTAAAATTTATATAATAACATAATCATTAAAATTATATAATAACATATTTATTAATCATTTAAATTTATATAATAACATATTTATTTAATCATTTAAAATTTATATAGTAACATATTTATTTAATCATTTAAAATTTATTATAATAACATATTTTTTAATCATTTAAAATTTATATAATAACATATTTATTTAATCATTTAAAATTTATGATATATTAAAATGATTTAATTTATCATTTAAAATTTATGATAATAACATATTTATTTAATCATTTAAAATTTATATAATAACATATTTATTTAATCATTTACAAATTTATATAATAACATATTTAGTTAATCATTTAAAATTTATATAAATACGATATTTATTTAATCATTTAAAATTTATATAATAACATATTTATTTAATCATTTAAAATTTATGATAATAACTATTTATTTAATCATTTTAAAATTTATATAATAACATATTTATTTAATCATTTAAAATTTATATAAATAACATATTATTTAATCATTTAAAATTTATATAATAACATATTTATTTAATCATTTAAAATTTATATAATAACATATTTATTTAATCATTAAAATTTATATAATAACATATTTATTTAATCATTTAAAATTTATATAATAACATATTTATTTAATCATTTAAAATTTATATAATAACATATTTATTTAATCATTTAAAATTTATATAATAACATATTTATTTAATCATTTAAAATTTATATAATAACATATTTATTTAATCATTTAAAATTTATATAATAACATATTTATTTAATCATTTAAAATTTATATAATAACATATTTATTTAATCATTTAAAATTTATATAATAACATATTTATTTAATCATTTAAAATTTATATAATAACATATTTATTTAATCATTTAAAATTTATATAATAACATATTTATTTAATCATTTAAAATTTATATAATAACATATTTATTTAATCATTTAAAATTTATATAATAACATATTTATTTAATCATTTAAAATTTATATAATAACATATTTATTTAATCATTTTAAATTTATATAATAACATATTTATTTAATCATTTAAAATTTATATAATAACATATTTATTTAATCATTTAAAATTTATATAATAACATATTTATTTAATCATTTAAAATTTATATAATAACATATTTATTTAATCATTTAAAATTTATATAATAACATATTTATTTAATCATTTAAATTTATATAATAACATATTTATTTAATCATTTAAAATTTATATAATAACATATTTATTTAATCATTTTAAATTTATATAATAACATATTTATTTAATCATTTAAAATTTATATAATAACATATTTATTTAATCATTTAAAATTTATATAATAACATATTTATTTAATCATTTAAAATTTATATAATAACATATTTATTTAATCATTTAAAATTTATATAATAACATATTTATTTAATCATTTTAAATTTATATAATAACATATTTATTTAATCATTTAAAATTTATATAATAACATATTTATTTAATCATTTAAAATTTATATAATAACATATTTATTTAATCATTTAAAATTATATAATAACATATTTATTTAATCATTTAAAATTTATATAATAACATATTTATTTAATCATTTAAAATTTATATAATAACATATTTATTTAATCATTTAAAATTTATATAATAACATATTTATTTAATCATTTAAAATTATATAATAACATATTTATTTAATCATTTAAAAATTTATATAATAACATATTTATTTAATCATTTAAAATTTATATCATAACATATTTATTTAATCAGTTAAAATTTATTTAATAACATATTTATTTAATCATTTAAAATTTATATAATAACATATTTATTTAATCATTTAAAATTTTTCTTTCATTTTTTATATTCTTAACTCTCACTTTCACTTTTTTTATTTTATTTTATTTATTTATATTTTATTTTAAGTTATATATTTAAATATTTTATATTTTTTCACATTCACTCATTATTTTTTTCTTTTATTTTCTTTCATTTTTATATTCTTACCCTCACTTTAAATTTTTGATTATCTATTTTTAAATTATTTACTTTTTAAAACATAACATATTTTTTTTTTTTAAACTTGTATATAAACTTTTTTTATTCTCCTTCACATACATTTCTCCCACCTCCTCAATTTCACTTTTAATTTTATTTAATTTTCTTATTTAATTTTCTTATTTAATTTATAATATATTTCTCACATATCTTTAAATCTTTTCATCTCATTTCATTTCATCATCATCTCCGCAATGCCCTTTGCCGCCGAAAATTAACAAGCACTTCACACACCAGGACATACCCCTGTTTTCACTCATCAGCCCCATCCCACCTACCTGTGCACAAGAGTCAGGTCGTTCAGCTCAGTGGCAGTGCAGCAGCAGCGCCGCAATGCCCTTGCCGCCGAACCGGTAATTGTCCGCCACAAACTTGTGCAGCCCCGTGCACGAGCGCGCAATTGCCTCCATGCCCGCGTCTGTCACCTGGTGTTTAATACATATCCCACAGGCATAGCAAGGCAGGGAGGAAGGAGGGGGGCAAGTTATCACATGAACCGGTAGTTGTCCGCCATAGCGCGAGTGCGCTATTGCCACACACAAACTTGGGCAGGCAGGCCACTGCACGAGTGCGCTATTGCCTCTTGCCTCCATCCCCGCATCTGTCACCTGGTGGGGATGAATGCAAGAGGAAAGCAAAGCAGTGAGCAGAGAGCACACCAAACCGATGGTTGTCCGCCACAGACTTGTGCAGCCACAGACTTGTGCAGCCACAGACTTGTGCAGCCACAGACTTGTGCAGCCACAGACTTGTGCAGCCACAGACTTGTGCAGCCACAGACTTGTGCAGCCGCAAACTTGTGCAGCCGCAAACTTGTGCAGCCACAAACTTGTGCAGGCCGCAAACTTGTGCAGCCACAAACTTGTGCAGCCGCAAACTTGTGCAGGCCACAAACTTGTGCAGCCGCAAACTTGTGCAGCCACAAACTTGTGCAGCCGCAAACTTGTGCAGCCACAAACTTGTGCGCCGCAAACTTGTGCAGCCACAAACTTGTGCAGCCACAAACTTGTGCAGCCACAAACTTGTGCAGCCACAAACTTGTGCAGCCACAAACCTGCCCACGGGTTGTCACCTGCCCACGGGTTGTCACCTGCCCACGGGTTGTCACCTGCCCACGGGTTGTCACCTGCCCACGGGTTGTCACCTACCCACGTGTTGACACCACCTATGGTCAAACCGTCTCAACCGGAGCAGCGGCATACGTCAAGGCAGTAGCGCAGATTGAGCTTCTTGAGGCGCAGCACAGCAGAGAGCGAGCAATGAGCTCTCCAGAAACGAGCCCCGTTCACCTCTTTGCCCATGCGCCACGCTTCCGAAACCCAGCTTCTTCTTTTCATAATTCTAAGAACTGAACTGAACTCAACTCATAGATCCACTTTTTGAGTCGACTCAAAAATCCAAGTGTCATAACTGAACTGAACGCAACTAGATAGATCCACTGGTCACCTGAACTGGACTGGAGAAGCATACCTCGAGTCGAGGCAGTTGCAAGCTATGAGCTCTGGAACAACGGTACACCTCGAGGCAGTTGCGCAGATAGGGCTTCTTGATGTGGGGCAGCGTGCGAGCGAGCCATGAGCCATGAGCTCTGTAGAGGGCATGTGGGGTATCGTACAGCCCGTCCTGTCCCTGCCAGGCCACGCCCCACATGTCCTTCGACTCAAGCCGCCAAACCTTCAGGACAGGAACAGAACAGCGTGCGCACCTCGAGGCAGTTGCGCGGATCCAGCTTCTTCAACTGCGGCAGAGAGCGAGCTATGAGCTGCACACTCGTGTCCCCTATGCTCCTCCTCGCCTAAAGCCTACTTTCTGCACGGCACGCCCAACATATCCCCAGCTGTGAACAAACTGTTTGGCCACCTGGACTGGACAGGAGGGACGTACCTCGAGGCAGTTGCGCAAATCCAACTTCTTGAGGTGGGGCAGAGAGCGAGCTATGAGCTGTAGACTCGTATCCCCTATGCTCCTCGCCGGGTTGGGTTTCCTCCCCATCCCCCCACACACATACCCGCCCGCATACCCCCCCCCTCCGCCTCCGCCTCCGCCTCCCCCATCTGATGCGCCTGCTGATAGTGATAATACTGGTAGTCCCCCCCCCCGCCTGCCCCGCCCGCGCCCTCTCTTCCGCCGCCGCCCCCCCTCGCGCTGCTGCTTCCAACTTCCCCCGCGGGCGCGAGGAGGGCGGGTGGGGGGTGGTCGCAGCGGAGGGTGAGGCGCTGGAGGGCGGAGAAGCGGAGGAGGAGCGCGGGGAGGAGGGGGGAGAGGTGGAAGGAGGCGCGCAGAGCCATGCGCGTACGAGAGGACGCGTCGAGACTGTAGGGGGAGGGGTGGTGGAGGATGGAGAGGCGTGGGGTGGGGTGGAGAGGGGTGGAGAGGGATGGAGGGAGGTGGAGGGGGGGAAGGAGAGGGGTGGAAAAGGGATGAAGAGGGTTGAAAGGGGGAAAGACGACGAGGGAGGGGAATAAGGAAAAGGAGAAAGGGGCACAACGGAACAACGGAACGTGATGGTACTTGTAATGCATTTCAGAAAAAAGAAAACGAGGGTGGGAGGAGGAATGGGGAAGTGGGAGTGGGACGGGGAAAGGGAAGTGGAGAGAGGGTACTTGAAGCTCGTTCAACCATGAAACCCCCTGCAGCAAGTGCATAAGGAAAGCTAGAAAGAGACTTGTTGTTGCCCTTCGTCCTCCCTTTTCCCCCTTCCCAGTGCCCCCTCCCCTCTCCTCCACCCACTCCTCCCCGTTTCTCACTCCTCCCCAGCTATTCAATCTTCCCCAACATTCACTCACACTCCCAAAAAAAAACTCATTCCACCCAATATACTTACTCTCTCCACCGTGGGCACACGAGGGAGCAACGGTTCAGATCAGCCGAGGACAGCTTCCGGAAAATCAGGATCAGGCAATCGTCGGGCACGCTGCTCAGCTCCGTCGGATCCGCCTCTTCCGCCGCTGCTGACGTGTCACCAGATGCGCCTTTCGCGGCGCCATTCGCGGCGCCACGGAAACTCTTCTCCAGCCATGGATGGTCCTCCTCCTCCTCCTTTGCGCTCTCCGCGATCGCGCTTCGAAGGGAAAGCACCTGAGGGAATCGCTGAAGCGGCCGTGCGACGCCGTCGCCCGCTAGCTGTCTAATCGGCGACAAACGCGGCGACAGAAGCGGCGACAGAAGGGTCTCTTCCTGCTGCTGCCGCCGTCTCCCGGCTTCTGGCCTTGATCCGTCCATTGCTAGCTGACGTGGCTCGTCGTAATTGGGTCCAGGGAAGATTCTTATCAAACAAGCCACTTCTGCTCGTGCCGGACCTAGTTGGGTTGAATGGATAGCCCAACTGAAGAAGCCCTAGTTGCTTTGGCAACTAAAAAAGCCCAGTCAATCCGACGATCAGTTTCCTACCGAAGTCTTCCTTGGATAACTTCTGAGACTTTTTGAAGCGATTCGGAAAACCCTAACTCGGACGAAAGGCGTCACGAATGGCCCTGGAAATTATTTTGAGGCGCCTCAAGAACGGACGTCGAGAACTTTTGAGACTAGATAGAATGATTCGATGAAACCTAACTCGGGCGAACGGCGTAAAAAATCAGCCTTGAAAATGTTTGGCTTCAAAGGCGGCGCGATGCCTCGGCAATCGATGAGTTCACCCAAGAATCGCGATGCCTCGGCACTGGAACTGGAATAGAATCCTTCAACTGCACGTATGGCGGGCCCCGATGCGACAAGCAGCTTGTGCGATAAGGCAAATAGGTTCTAGTTAGTTGGGAATGATACGGACTACGTAATTCATTGCAAGCTAACAAACGAGCGAGGAACAGAGAAGACGGACCAAAAGCTACAGTACCAGCTGGTGCAAGCTTTTCTGCCAGGTCCAACACAAGACGTGTGTTTGTGCCACCACAACCACATCAGACACGAAGAAACCATGAAAAGAAATTGACTTTGTGGCCGCAGAACCGTAGTTACGCACTTCACTAACGCTCTGAACCGTACAGAAGAGCTGTTTTGTTGCCATATCAGACAGGATGGTTGCGAGGTTTGCTCTGTTTTCCCCCCAAGCCCCAACGCGCAGAGAGCAGGTCAACGGCTCGTCTGAAACGGTCAAAGACGTTTGATATCAATTTTCGGTTTTTTTTTCCATCGCTTTAGACGACTGTGCACCAGACTGAACCGTCTGTAAAAGCTCTGTCGACTTTTCCCCACGCACAGAAGGCACATCCGCCACACCCGTCCGATCGGAATCCAGTTGCGAAAAACGGGGCGGCCGGCTGGCCTCGCCACGCGAAAAATCGCTTGTGGCTGGCTCTGTAACGCCAGCCACACGTTACGCGTCACATCCTTCCTACCAGGAAACTCGCTCTACAGAAAAGCATGAAACCGCCCTAGGAATAATAATTATAATACAAATTAGGAAGATGTAACAGCACACACCTTTGCTTTAAAAAATCATCCTGTAGTGCTAATGACAGTCACAAATATTAGTCTCTGGATCATTCCCGTCACATCTTGGTTTGACTTCACATGTTTCTTCAATAGATTATGACAGTTGTGTCTGCTTGCTATCATCATGAAGTCACGTTAATGACTGCAGTGTTTCAAATTGAATGGTGGTTTTCGCCCATGCAGTATTGTTAGCTGAAGTATCTATAACGAGTATGGTAGCAGTTCCAGCTCTGTTTTCAGAACAATCGGAGGCAGTACAACCTGGTGCGGCGAGCCCACGAGATCTATCGCACACAACTCACTCACCAAGTACGACTCTCGCACCACCTTGCACCACCCCGCACCATTAGCACCTCACATTACCTGCTCCCCACGGAACCCGCTCAAGGCGCATATGTGACTCGCATCGCGCTCACGTCCGCGCGTCGCAGTCACACATAGTACTAATCTAGATGACTTTTCAAAGAGTGGACGACTCCCGTACCACCCGCCGCACCACCCGCCGCTCCACCCGTTTAGCCGCTCACCTCACCCGCCCTCCACGCACCCCGGTTCCGCCAAGATTGAACGTTATATCACTCATTTTTTTCCCAATCGTTTGGCGCGGTTCTGCTCAGTACCCCCCACCGGAGGGAAAGGGGCAGACGCAGGGAAGAACAAGGGTGGGGTGGGGATTTGAAAGAAAGAATAAAGGCGATTTGAGAAGGGAAGGGATTGCAGGGACTGGGAGAATGGGTCGAGACTATGCTTTTCTGGAAGGTAACTCGTGGGAGAGAGAGAGAGCAATCTCATTTCCCAATTGATTGGTTGGGGATAGAAAAAATGGAGAATGAGCTTGGAAAGGCTCAGACCATTCCCTAGTCCCCTTTGGGGTGCAGCCACCTTCCCAATGTCAAGGAAGGGTGCACAACGATGGGCCTTGCCCATGTGGCAACGGTTGGGATTTCCAACCAATTAGATCATAGACAGCAATGATAACAATGCACACTTATCACAAACCTGAGTTGTTGCATTGGTTGCAATTTCAAGGAAGAGTCGAATTGGATTTAGGTTGGCTGTTTCTGATTGGTTCTATTTCCAACCAGCGGCGGAAGTTCCGTCGACTCACTTTGTGTGAGTATGTTCTGATTGGTTGGACAAGGGTGATGTTTGAACTTACGTGGGTTGTTTTCAAACCTATCGCGTAAGTTCTGTCACAATTGTATAGCAGAGTTCTGATTGGCTAGTTTTTCAATCAAGTCAATTCCAACCCAAGTCTCGCTTCCATTCAAATTTCAACCAATCATGTTTCCTCACATTTCCCCCTCACAGCTGGTTCGACGTATCGAGACCAGGTGAGGAGACCGAGATGTTACACTCCTCCCCCTCCATTTGGCAATGTCCTCGTTGCCGTGGGGTGCTTCTTAGGACGAGTGCTGCGAGCACGACGAACCATATTACGACCAGGGTCAACACCATCCACTGGTTGTGGGAGTGCTCGTTGAGCCAGGTCTTCCATGTAGGACTGAACCGCAGTATCAGTCAAATGTTCTTTCGGCTCCCAAGAGTTGTGTTCAGGCCCATAGCCTTTCCACTTAATGAGGAACTCTCGTATAGTCTTGCGGCCGCGTTGTCGATCACGATGCAAAAGCACTCGTTCGACTTCATAGTACAGTTCCTCCCCTAGGACGATTGTTGGTGGTGGTAAGTACTTGCCTTCCGCAACGTACTTGCTTAACAGAGACACATGGAAGACATTGTGAATCTGAAGGGTATCAGATAGCTTGAGCTTATAAGCTACCGCACCAACTCGTTGAACCACCTCAAAGGTCCTAATCCAGCGAGAGAACAACTTTCTCGCACTAGGGATCTTAAGCCGATATTCTTCGTGCTTAACAAAACCTTGTCTCCAACGGAGAATGAGACTTCCCAGCGTTTCATACCGGCATAGGAGTTTTGCCTTTGTTGGGGTAATTGCAGCCAACGACGTGCCGACTTTAGGGCCTCTCGTTGCTTGCCCACAAAATCCTTTGCGGCCGGTAATTTTAAACCGCCGATCCCATGCGTAGCGGGTGTTGTGGGATGCCGACCACAGTTCAGGATAAATGATTTTTTCATGTGTGCTATCATGCACTGAGTTGTTAACCGCAAACTCGACCATGGGTAACAACTCGTCCCAATTGTCATGTGTTGGGCTGATGAAAGAACGAAGCATCTGCTCGTGAGTGCGTTAGTCCGTGTCAGAATCCCAACCACTAGACCATTGGGATAAAAGGGCTTGTTAAGTAGCGGGTCAGAGTGCGCCCATAACCCCCCAGGCGAACGCGCCTGTAACCCCCCTAGGATCAATCGGGCATCCACAGTGCAGATCTACTGACACCCCCCCACACTGGGAGGCCCAGGATTGAGCACAGCGGCAACGGCCTACATGTGCATACACCGGGAATCGAACCCGAGACCTTTCTGACACCATGTCAGAATCCTAGTCACTAGACCATTGGGATAGAAGGGCTTGTTTCAGTAGCGGGTCAGTGCGCCCATAACCCCCCAGGCGAACGCGCCTGTAACCCTCTCCAGGATCAATCGGGCATCCACAGTGCAGATCTACTGACACCCCCCCACACTGGGAGGCCCAGGACTAAGCACAGCGGCAACGGCCTACATGTGCATACACCGGGAATCGAACCCGAGACCGCTCTGATACCATGTCAGAATCCCAACCACTAGACCACTGGGATAAAAGGGCTTGTTTGTGTAGCGGGTGAGTGCGCCCATAACCCCCCAGGCCAACGTGCCTGTAACCCTTCCCTAGGATCAATCGGGGATCACCAGTGGACCTCTGACACCCCCCCGCACTGGGATGCTCGAGGTGCAACACACCGGGATTCGAACCCGAGACCTTTGCTCTGATTACATGTCAGAATCCCAACCACTAGACCATTGGGATAAAAGGGCTTGTTAAGTAACGGGTCAGTGCGCCCATAACCCCCCAGGCCAACATGCCTGTAACCTTTCCCTAGGATCAATCGGGGATCACCAGTGGACCTCTGACACCCCCCCCGCACTGGGATGCCCGAAGTGCACACACTGGGATTCGAACCCGAGACCTTCGCTCTGATAACATGTCAGAATCCCAACCACTAGACCATTGGGATAAAAGGGCTTGTTAAGTAGCGGGTCAGAGTGCGCCCATAACCCCCCAGGCGAACGCGCCTGTAACCCCCCTAGGATCAATCGGGCATCCACAGTGCAGATCTACTGACAGTCCGTTCTGTTTGCCCATCTATCTGGGGATGGAACGCTTACGACACCTTAAGCTTCGTTCCTAGTGTCTCAGTTACTTCACGCCAGAACCGGCTTATGAAGTGCGGGTCGCGATCAGACACTAATACACGTGGCAATCCGTGCAGGCGGAACACATGTGTCACGAACAACCGAGCCGTATCCTCTGCTGACACGTCTGTTGCCGTAAGGCGATCTACAAACACGAGTATCGTCGTATACCCATCACAGGTTCTCGGGAGGTCGGCGATGAAATCCAGTGACGATTTCCCAAGGTTCCCTTGGAATTTCAAGTGGTTGAAGCAAACCACCAGGCTTTTGCGTGTCCGGTTTGTTACGTGCGCACGTGTCACAACGTGCCACAAACTGTTGGACATCACTACCGACTCCTGGCCACCAATAGACATCACGTAGGGCCCATCGGGTCTTATTCATGCCCAAATGTCCCCCATACTTAGTGGCATGCACCACTTTCAAAATATCGTTCCGCAGATTGCCTATATGAGGTACCGCAATCTCTTTTGTTCGCC